TCTTCAGAAAAGAAAGCTAAGTCCATTGTTTAGATACAGTCTATAGTTTCACTACAGTTGAATGTGGCAGCACAAGTGTACATCTTATTGTTGCTAGTGGTCTTAACTTTAAAATTTCAAATCACAAAAGGAAACAAACTTTAAAAAAAATATGCTATGGCCTTCCCAGTCACTGGATCTCAACTGTCAACTCAGCAGAACTGGTGTGGAAGACTTTGTACCATATATATAGTCCTTATATTTCATACTTTATTATATTTACTAACCTTATAAGTTGATGTATTATCCTATATTTTGTCATCTCCTGAGGAAATTATTTCCTAATTTAGAGTTAAGCAGTAGTCGGTGCAGTAGTTATTACCTTTTTTGGATGTGTTTTAGCTATCTGTGCTTGTCAGTTTATTTAAGGAATCATTTCCTCTCCCCCCTTTAACTTGGCTGAGAATTTCAGACTGCCATAAACCTTTTTTTCCCCACTAAAAGTCCATTTCAAGATAATTCTTGAACAAGTAATTTTCCAGAAACCCAGACATGCAATTGCATGAATATTGATAATATAGTCTGTATCTATTTTTGTTGACATTGTGCCTGTAATAAAACATGCTCTGAGTCCAAATTACCTTTATTTTAGTGTAACAGTCTTATGCAGAAGAAAATGTTTGTGCATTTGCTGGAAAATGGGGTTGAAATAGTTCCTTATGCAATGTAAGGGGTTAAGCACAGCTGATATCTTGGTTAAGAGAATCAGGAATGTTTATAAAAGTGATTAGTGTGGTTGTCATACTGTATTTTTTTTATTTATTTATTTTTTTTAAACTTTGGTCAGATTGCACCCCTTTCTAAAACATTTTCTTCTCATTTCAGCATGAGAGGCTCTCTAGGTAAGGTTCTTCTAATTTGATTTACACCATCAGTAAGAAAGGCATTACCACGTATTACCAGAATGACAACAAAAACAGGAATCTATCCATTACTGACAGGAGTATATCCATTCAATTGGGCAAAGAGTGTGCTAAATCTGAATTAATAGTTAATACATCTCCTGTGTCTTCAGATTGGGATCATCTGGATCATCTGATGTCTCCAATGACACATCAACAAACCATGCTGAGTCCTACTTTTTACAAAGAGAGAACAGACTATCTGCAAGGAAAAAGGCACAAGAAGAGACAGCAAATAATGATTATAAAAAGGTATGTGATACACCTTAAATACAAATATACACGACTGTAATATGTAGATTCTGAGTGCTACTTTTTGACAGTACTGTAGATGCGTATGTATTGTAATAAAAGAACAAAAATAAAAAGAGCACACAGAGATTCAGTGGGCTCAATAATTCGTAACATTTGGATTTAATGAAAATGATGAATAGAATGGGAGCTACTGCTGATAATAATCAAATCTAATTTCAAATAGAAATTAAGTATGTAAATTTAATACCACTGCACTTTTTTAATGTTGTCAGATGAGAAAAATAGTTTATTCATATGAAATTATATGAAAATGAATCAGAATCACGTATTCAGGGGGGCAGATACTACGATGCTAATGGGTTCTATGTCGCTTTATGAAAGTAATATGATCACCAAAGATAGCACAGCTTATCTTGACAAACACAAGTGCCATGAGTGATTCATCCAAAACTTGTTGAAGCATTTCCCTCACAGCCACTAATGTGAACATCATGGGAGGAAGAAAGTCTCCAAAGTCAATATGATTCATTATACATGTAACACATATACTAAACCTAATGGCAATCTAATGTCTGTCAAGATATTTTAAGGAAGAAATCTGACCCTGATGGCAATTGATGAAAACTGAAACTACCACAAAAATGTGTCCTGGTGGCAGTGTTTGGTGGTGGAAATCCTAACATGTGGGTATTTTGTAGATGTATGAAAAGGCACTGGCAACAAATCAAAGGCTCAAGTCCCGACTGGAAACAAGTAAACAGGAACTCACCATGATGCAAGACCAGCTGGAGAGAGCACAGGTACTCTAAGCAAGGCTGAAGTAATGATCCAGAAACACTACTGAGAAACAAATTAACCACTTGTTTGAAAAGGGCAACAGTCCATTTTTTTTACATAAATATGAGACATTGATAACAGAGACTCCATAATCAAGCTGTTTCCATAAATTGCAATCTTTTCTCATAGTAATCTCTCTTTGCTGCAGAAGGGGAGACAGGATGACTGTGGGGCCAATGTGCTAGAAGCAGAAAAAAAGGTATGGACTCAAGAGGAGAAGTGTTTTTTAAGCATTTTTACTCGTTTATTTTAATTACCTTTAATGATTATACTTAAAGGAAAGCTGGAGCCTTAAAAAGAGGATATCAGATATGGAAGAACAACTGAAGGTAAATGTTTTATAAATGCCTTAAAATTGAATTTGAACATTAAGTCTCTTTTGAGAATATACAGTAAGTGTTTGGTTGTAACTTGGTGCTGTGGTCTCAGCTGTTTTGTCTTCAGTGGTTTTAGCTGACATCATTTGTCACCATTATGCTCTGCTGGCTGTGCAATGTGTGAGCACTGCAGCGAGTGAGCAATCAGTATTCATGTGCAGCGTAAAGCCCACAAATGTCTGCTGTGTTCTGCACAAGTGAATGCAAACAAAAACCTCTTGTTGTCTGTGAATGAGAGACCTAAACAAAGATGCTGGTCTAAAAATATACCTTTACAACAGAGAAATTATTCAAAACTGGTCTAAAAGCATCTGTCTGTCAGTGTGTATGAACACATTGTATTTGTTTAATAAAGATCAGTCTGTCCTTTATTCTTTAGGCCAGTTTTCTTTCTGTACCAGTTACTAATAAGAGTAGAAACCAGAAACCTTCATAGAATGTAGATAAAAGATGGACATACCGTAGTCAGTATGATATCAGGTTTGGTTAGAAATAGGTTTAGAAGCCTCAGGCCATGGATCAGATTGAGAAACCAAGAAGCACTGAACACTTGTACAGTAGCAAACTATGAGTCACAAGGTAGGTCCTCTCTGCAGCATACCTGGTTTTTTCCATCCTATTTGACTTGAATGGGGTCCAGAATCTAAAAAGAGAACTTAAAAGTAGCGGCTAAGACCACAGGGGAGTGTTTACGCTGGCCATAGCTCAAAGGAGCCAAAAAACATTTTTTTCCCATAGATTACTATACAACTGAACATGCAGGAACCATCTCATGCTGGTGATAAGACAGACTGTAGGTTTAAGGCACTTTTGCATTGCTTTCACTTTTCAGACCCTGAAGCTACGTCCATCATTTATAAACACCAGCAAACTTGTATGAGTTTCACTTTAAGCAGGACCTTGTTACTGTCCACTTTGTGAGCAAGAATTTTTTTTCTCTTAGAAGACACCGTTCTGTATCCCTGTGTTTCTCTCTCCTGTGTTATGCACAACTTTTAAAAAGTGGTCTCTGCACAGATCAAGATTCATTGTATTTATTAATATTATATGTAAATGTTATGACAGTTACGGGGTGTTGTGGTCACTGTCGATCAAATCTAGTGAAACAAATTTTGTGCTCAAAGTAAATATTGTTTATAGCAAAAAAAAATGTTTACTTGTGGTTTTGCAAGAATCCAAGGTTATGCCTTTGTTTTAAGAGGTAGATTAGCATGTGTTCTGCGGGTGGTCTGTTGTACTCTGAATCTGCTACCTCCCATTTGATGTGACCAAGGCTGAAAAGATTACTGACATGACCAGAAATAAAAACCAGTCCTTGGTGTGTAGCCCATGAAGACACTACCAAAATATGAACTTACTTTTAAACTACAAATTAAGAACAAGCAAATCCTTATACTAGCCACTGTAAGCAGAAATGCTCTACCTGGGACGAATTGTAGGACTTTTTAGATACTCTGTCCACCCTTATGTTTTTATACTCTCTTTTCCCTCAGATTAAAGCAGAGCTTAAGATGGAAAACCAGAGACTAAAGGATGAGAATGGGGCTTTAATCCGTGTCATCACCAAACTCTCCAAGTGAGAAGGGAAGCAGACAGGAGGGAGGAAGAAGAAGAAAGGATTCAAGAAGTCATATTTTAATCTGTATCCTTTAAATTTCTGAAAGCATAAGTCCATCCTCTGAAAAGATATGTACATTGGTCAGCAGAATGTATTAAACTGAGCCCTTTCTACTGATTGTTTAGAAAGATGAAAGAGATGTTGATTTAATACTGATTTTCCATCCTCCTGTTCACATATAAGAAGACACATTTGTCCAACTGTAAATGCACAATGCATCAATTTAAAATGTAAACTCACTAAATATTTCTAAATAAAGGCAAATGCCAGTTTACGTGTTTCTTATTACTGTCTTTACGTGAGTAAATTGTCCTCAAGTAAACAGTGTGTGAAATTTTGTTACTGAGTAGACACTTTCACAAAAATGGACAAAATATTGCAGGTATTTCCAAAAAAGCATTGCCATGGAAACAGCAATATTTGGCCTATTCCATATGCAGATCATGAAAATGGGCTCTGAACTATCAGGGACAGTGGGTGATGGATGAGAAACATTTTTTAGGAACGTAGGAGTGTCATCTCTGATTTAAGAGCTTTACCTTGACTGATGATATTGCAAGTAACACGATCTCTGGCTTACAAGTTTAAATAGAAAAAATGTTTAAAAAAATTATGTATTTATATATTTTTTCCCTATAAAAGTGTCAAAACAAATTTAGCTTTCTTGTAAAATATCGCCTCAATCTCATGCACTTATTAATCTGTCATATTAGCGTCAATTAAGTAGGAGTTGTGGTGATTTTGATCAAATCACATGGACTTTATCGCTAAATGGTGAATATGATATCCTTTATTTAAAGGCATAAAACTGTGTCTTACTTTTTTTTTTTTTAAACGCTGGGCTGTCATCTATGTGTCACACTCAGCTACTAAGCTGTTTCTTGGCATTTATTTTATGCATGCAACGCCATCCGCTGACCATAAATGGAAATGCATCCTCTACATACATTTACACAACACATGGGACAAAGCTACTTAAAATGCCTTTATTTCCTATTATTACATATGAACAACACAGAGATATGCTCTGATCACATCCTCATATTTTGGTTCCCTTGAGTACTTCAGTTCTACACAGAATGATGTATGAGTACAACTTTTTTGGTCTTTTTTGTTTGCTTTTCTGCTGGAAAAACATGGATTCTGTACAGAATTAAATCATGCAGTTCACAAAAAGGCACAACTATTGACACACCTCTACAACAAGACAAAACAAGAATGACGAACGACATTCAAGCATTTCCCTTGTCTATGTTGCTGGGTAAGTGAATATACAAGCGAGCTTGACTGTCTTTGGATGTTCTGTTATATGGCTATGTTGACTTAACAGGATTATGACTGTAAAGGAACCATTACCGAAGCAGCAGGTTGGCAGTATTGCATTTCGAATGTTGAATGTTGAATCTGCACTGTTTGGGTCTGCTCTGTGCCCAAGACAGCTTGTGAGACCCAGGAAGACAGGGATTTTGTTGCCTGCATCGCAGAGAACATACCTAACATACCTTAACAGAAGACCATTTAACGAATGCCGGCTCTACACTCCTGTTGAAAATACATAAACTAGCACATGTAAAATATAAGTTCTATATCAAAGAGTAGAGGATGTGCTGACACACGGTGTACTAAAGGATGTAATGAGGTGCTTCTCCACAAAAAAGATATTGGAATTAGACATTAATCCTCTGTCTTCAGCTCATCTCCTCGAAACCAGAAACAGTCTTAATGTGAAAGAGAGTGCAGAGAGGATTAGGCGCGTTCATCTCCATGCACTCCATCTTATAAATAAGGCTTTATCTAAACGTAAATGATAATGACTCAAAAAGCAGAAAAATGAAGGCCCACATTGTAAATGATGTGGTAGACAGCGTCAGTATCTAAGAGCATGCACAAGCGACACAACACCAGCTCATCCTATTGTAATCCCTTAGTTAAAGTATATCAGTTCATACAGTGGCATTTGTAATGAAAAAAAATATTGATTGCTTGATTATTAGATGGTAGCTACTTAAAAGAACAGCATCAATAATCTGGTATGCTGTAATAATATTTAATTACTTATGAAGCAAAGAAGACACTACTGAATAATGAATTTACAACTGAATTCAGTTTAATTTATCCTACAATTTAAATAAAAGCTAATTTTCTTGAAAAGCAAGAAGATGAGGAGGTACAATTTAATGACGTGTGACGAAAAAGGGGCTACAAGTCAGTTAGCTAATGTACGGCACTGACATTTGATTAACTAAGACTTGACACCCGTCTGGCAGGAGTACATGAAGGAAACACTTAGGTACACTGAGATAGAAAATTAAGGAGACAAGTATTCTCCTGTTTTGAAATATATACAATTAACTGATTATGTATTAATACACTCAGAAATGAACAATTATTACATGACTTGTAGCCTGAGGAAAAAAACACACTAGCATAGAGACATAAAAACAATGACGGAAAATCAGACGATCATGCAGTTTGATGAAAACGCAATGGATTTCCATGTGACACTAAAATCAGCTGTGTTTTTAACTGAGGCATTCATGGAGTCTGGTAAGCCAAACATGGATTGTTCAGACATACATTCAGCAGAAATTCATACACTTTGCAGTCAGTGCATCCTTTTTTTATACTCTGTTTTATTATAAAAATGACACAGAACACAAACACACATACACAATATAATTATGGTTCCTCTTTAAAACATGCCGCTATTTACATCATCTTGTAAATACATGCTGTAGCCTATTAACAAATTTTGCGGGATGCATATGTTAACAATTGTAAAGAAGTACTGTGGATGAACCTGTCAATGTGCCGCTGCTCACCATTAGATACTTCTGCTGGCGACGTGGATGCATACGAACGACTGCCTTAACATTTTCTTTTTTAAACAAACTGCCCCCTTATAAAAATGTCCTGAAAAATCTATGTTGACATTTAAAAGCACTAAATGTAGACACAAGTTTCTATGAGTTCATTTTTTCCAGTTTCTGAAATTCTGAGAAAATATTTTAATGTGTTGGCCTCCCAAGATCTGATTTTGGATTTTTTGATTTAAAGAAAGTAATTCACAAAACACCGATTCCCTGATTTTGTCTCACTTAGAATTCACTGATAACATCAATGTATCAACTCGGGTTGAGTGGATGAGTGGGCTGGAGCCAATCCCTGGAGATAATCCACAAGAGATGGGGTAAAACCCTGGACATGTGTCCAGTTCCATCAATTCATGGCCAGTTCAGAATCCAAAATTACCTACGTAAGCAGTGAAACTCAACATCAGAGAGGCTCTAGACAGTGTTTGAAGCCAGAAATTAGTTGTCATTAATAATGATTTCAGTTACAATGATTTGAATTATAAGAAAGTGATACTGACTCTTTTCCCTCCCGGTAAATTCGGAAGATTTTTCAGGTTCAGGTTGTCATCACGTATGATTAGAGAAAGTGTCATCCATTTTCTAAAGCTATTTTTTTGGGGGTTTTTAAGGTTCCTGCAATAAATGATAATTTTAATCCTACATATGTCTACATTTAACTCAAAGAAACCAATATGGGGACAGTCATGATTCTTCAGTTAAGAGGAGCTGCTACAGGAAAGAGATCAGGTCATTGGTAAATTCAGTGGAATTTAAATGTCAACATTTTAAATGTTCTATCCTCAGTCATTCCCTTATAATAATCAATTCTTTGTGTCCTTTTTTGCTTCCAAGCCACTAAACATTACACTAATAATTTGCCTACAAGTTTCAACATCACCATATTGCAGCACTTTGTCTCCAGGATCAAAAAGCTTGTGTCCCGACCGAGTGATTCAAACAAGACAAAATACTGCGAGGCATGATACATGCTCTATTCTGCAGCTCTATTTGGTTCAAGCAGATGGTCCAGGATGTGTGTATTGTATACGTTTGATGATACATTTGCTATGTTTAGATTCTACACACCTCATTAATACAAATCAAAGCTACATCTTACATTTCAAATTCAATAATCTATAAAAACATTTCGTCTTTGACAGAAATCCTCATGTTGTTTCAGCAGAAACTACAGAAATATTGAAGTGAATTACAGTAGAACTACAACATCAGCCAATGACGTGGAATCGTTTTAATGAATGTCAAAACATAATAACCAAAATGGCACTGTCTTTTACTAAACAACAGAAATCAAAGAAGCATAGTCAGTACTGTTTTCAGCATCATTGGTAATCCTTTTTAGTGCCTTACTTCTACAATGGATAAGTAAGGTTTTACATCCAAGTGGTCAACATAGCCAGATTTCAAATGGCACATTCACAGTGTCCCTGACACATTTTGAACAATATTCAACCACTTTAAAATAAACAATAAAACCTGCACTACTTCTCAAAGTGTCATATTAGGAAGGCACCCTTGTATTCCTGTCTTACATTACACCTGTCTGAAGACACAGAAATATGGGTTGAAGCTAAATGCATAGATGGGCCTTCGTGGCAACACAAAACAAGCAACTTAAGTCAGACAACTGCATCATCCCTGCTATATGGTTCTGCTGCACTGTTTGCACCATCTCATATGTGAGCTGATAAAATCAAGAAAAATGTCATACATATTCCAGAATTGATTGTTGCATTCATTGATCTCAACCTGAATCATCTGCACTTGAATCTCTTCGCATTGATAGACTTAAGACAAACTTTATGCGGGAAATAACCCCAAATTAGAGTACTTTCTATTGCAAGTTAAAGCACAGTTATTAGCAAGACACAATACTGGGCGTGATGCACGCAGGCAGTGGGGAGGTAAGTAAAGCATGCTCTATAAACTAAACTAAAGCCTTTTTTTTATATATATCCAGCATTGTCTTCACCAATAATTCCATTCAGTGTCAGCACCCTAAGAATGAGATTCTTCAAATGAAGGAAAGACTAAAAGTCGATCATTCATTAACCAGTCACCCGGTAACTCAACACCATTCTTCTCAGCATACATTAATGTGGGAAATGTGATGCTCAAAAAGAGTTTCAGATATTCTACAATGTCTTTTTTTTAATATATTTTTTTTTGAGCAGGACTTTTGACAAATAGTCATGTGTGAAGTCATGAAATTCATGCAAAGTAGGGATGAAGATTGGATTTCTGAGTTAGTGCATTAGCTGGTTGGTGAGATGTGTTACTTCTTTGCATTCAAGGATGCCAGCTGGCCATCAATTTCCTCCTCTGGCTGCAATGGGTGCCACTGGGCAATGGGACGGCGTGGATTAGCCAGCATGTCAGACCAGTGCTTCAGACCTAAGCCAGTAGCCTTACTGCCCACGAAGATTTTTCCAATGGCATCATTCTTACCTATCTTGTCATAATCAAACACTGTGACTGCCACCAAGATTTTCTGAGAAGGCAGCAAGAGAAAATGTAATCAATTATCTGTTTTCTGGGCATTTCATCATTCAAACTGTAGTGGAGATTCATTCATGAGCTATTATAACATATCAGTGAAGTCCAAAAGGTGTTGTATGACTTGTACTGTACCTGCATCTGTTCCAGGGGGATTTCAAAGCTGAAGGATTCATTGTAATATGGGTTTAGGGTGTTCTTCTTCACTGTAGTCTTCTTTTTCTTCAGACGCTTACCACCCTGGAGCAGCTGGATCTTTACATAAGGATCTGGAAAAAACATGAATATGATGAACAAAAGAGAAAAACTTATTCTGTCAATGACACAACCTTTAGTGTTTCTTAATTTGTTTGTTTGTTTGTATTTTAAATGGTTTTTCTTTGAATTTTCTCTTCAAATTGAATTTTCTTGCATGTGCCAAAGGACAAGAGTATTATGTGTTTTTTTTTCTACCAGATAAACCGCAGGCGTCCATCTTCTTCAGATTCTTTGCCTCCAGGATGCAGACAGTGAGTTTTCCAGCAGTGGGGACATAACGAAGGGAGATGCAGATATCTCCAAGTTTCTCAGGCTGAGCAGTAAGAGACACAGAAATGACAAGCACACATACTCATCAGATGTCCATAAATTGCATTTTCTGTGATGGGTGGGTGCAAAACATAGCTTTTATTTATCAAGATTTATACTCTTAGACTGAAACTGAGGGGTTTTTGTTGCTGCAACAGTGACATTATTTGGAATAAAACCCCTCTATCTGGATTTATGATCGCTCTGAGCTTTTAGACTTTGAAAATCCACTTTGATGACTGGGGGCAGGGATAACCTCGAAAAAGACACTGGAAAAGACTAGAGATACTAGCAGGTTATGTATGTAATCAGTTGTGATAAATTTAAAAAAGTGAGATAGTTTCCTTAATTATTCAAGCAAACTATCTCAGCATCATTGTTCACAGGTGTAGAAATGCAAGGAGAGAAATTTGTTGCTCCACTGACATAAATAAAATTTTTGATTTCTATGTGTCTGAATGTTTGTGCACTGTTATGAAATTCCATCTTTTAAGAAATGCGAACTAATCAAGGAGCTAAATTATTTCTGAATATTAAAGATAGGATGATCAACCAGTGCCATAAACATCTTGCTGACTCCTCCAACCGAGTCGACATCAAGCCCCTCAGCCCTGCTGTAGTTTTCAAGTAAAATTAAATGCAAATAAATAAAGAGGGAGAATTTTTGGTGAACTACATTTAACTGTGTTTAAACCTGAATTGATACACAGTTAGTGCTCAAATAAGTATTCATGGAAGCAGCATGAAAGACTAACGAGAAACAAACTATAGTGGAACCATTTATCATAATGAAGGAACATGTAAGCTGGTGCAATGGTGCAGCTGAATGTGTTCTTAATTGATTTTTGGTCAACAATGGAGCATTGTGGCTCAGAAAAATAAGATATAATTGATCTCTGTCTAGACAGACAATACTTGATAGTAGCATCAATTCATAATTGGTTTGGGGCTTTTTCTTAGGGTTGACACCCAGAAAGTTTAGAATCTCAATGGTCTATTATTTAAAGAGCACAGAATGAATCAGTTCAATAAGCACCTCCTCTTGATCAGCACTCTCGAGATCCCGCCACTCCTCAATAGGCCGTCCAAGGTCAATGGTGTTCATGGGCAGCTTTACCTCTCCAATGACATCATGTTTAGAAAATCGGTCATAGTCATAAACAGACATCACCAAGGTCTTTCCACCAAGCTCCTCATAGGGTACCTGACCAAGAAACACAATGTCACTTATAGATTGTATTTATCTGTCTCACAGGATAAATAGGTTTATTTTTAATGTCATTAAACTTCACATAAACTGCCTCTGGAATTCTTGAAAAGGGCGAGTTAGTCCCACTGAAAAACCCCCTCATTAAATGATACAAATACTTGCTTACAAATTTATAGTGTTTAGCAGCTGCTATACAGAAAACAGTCAATAATCAAAACTAAATGGAAAAAACTAAGTGAACTAAAAATGTTAAATTATAAATTATCAGAGAAAATAATCTGAGAAACCAGACAAATACTACGCCCTAAAAGCACTAAATGAAATGCACGGTTATTTTCTCAAATGCAAACAACAAACATATTAGGAAAAATAAGTTATTACACCCCAATCCACAGAAATCTATGTGAAAATGAAGATGAGGACACCTCTACTACAAACTGCATAGGCATACATGAAATTAAAAAAAAGCATCTTCTGTTTTAAAAAGAAAGAAAATATCTGGAATAAATTTTGATGGAGAAACAATAAATCTGACAGTGAAATTCTCATGGGAGGCCTTTGGAGATGGCAATAAAGGGCAGCCTGTACAATAAGATATTTTTCTGCTGCAGTTTTAACATTTTGCAGACTGGTATCGCCTGCAGCTTGACCCAGAGAGACTTGCAAAGTCCCAGCGGGGCTTATTAGCTAGGAGCATCTAAGAGCAGCATGTAGGCTGCATAGGCCAGTGGGTACACACACAGAGCCAGACAAACCTGACATACTGTCAGTTTCATACACAAAAAGCTGTGATAATGATTTGTGATATTTAAAAAAAAAAAACAACTTGCTCAAATAAGATTTATGTTTCTTTTTTTTTACAGCTGCATGCAAGAACAAGACTCACCTTGAAAACAAATGTCTCATTGAAGACAGGGTTCAGTGTTTTTTTGTGCACTTTGGTGTCAAACTTCTTCTTCTTGTCAGGGAAGAGCAGGACTTTAACATAAGGGTCTGAGGTTCCACCTGAGTCCATGGACATGAGATCTGCAGCTTGAAGGATACCAATTGTCAGCTGTGTGGAGAAAATGAGGGTGTATGTAAGCAACAGGAGCAGTGAAAACAGAATTTTATCAGGCAAAAATGCAACTTTTCTTTGAGGGTCACTGCCTCAGACTGGTTATATAAGCCTCGCAATCCATCACCACAAGCGTCTCAGCTGACTGGAGACATACTGGATGTCAGAAGCTTTTCCTCAGTGTCATCCAATTGTCACAGTGTGGTAACTTCTAAAAAATGTATTACACTGTGTGCTAGAAAATACAGATTTTAGCTGTCTATATTTTACAGATACATTAAAAGTACAGCCATTTCACCCTCTACTGTGTTTCATATCTAGTGAATTATTGGCATTTTAATTGAGCACATGAAGGTTTGCTCATATGCTGTCGAGTAATCAGTTAAGCTGCTGGAAGTACCACGGTTAGATAAATGTCTTTTGATTTACCTGAAGCCACTATAACAAGTTACTCTTTTAAGGTTTAGCCTCTTTTGTCTTTTCAGCCCTAAAAATAACTGTGGTTTTACTGACAATGTTCATCTTCTGCATACTCCTGTTCAGGTTTTGTATAGTATGTAAATGTAACCTTGAGTAACATCAACTTAACTGTCCTGTTTTGCTGCTATTAAAATTGTGAAGTTTATATTTGGTGTTTGTTCACATTCAAAGCCTGAATTAGGGAACTCTCTATTCCTCAAAATGTCATGGAAAATTACTCTTTTTCTGGCTGCTGACAGTAATTTCTGATTTATGGAGTAATAAAAAAACAGCCCTTTGTAAAAACTTTAATACGTCAAAAGAATGAAAGAAGAATTCCGAGTCTCATTGATCTCACTCTTACCAATGTTCAGATATCTGTTCCAGAAAAGTTTTCAAAACTGGCAATGACGCCTAATTTGCATAATTGAATGTGAAATTTCAGAATACATTACAAAAAATAAATAAATAAAAATATTTGATTAATGTCTTGATGGATCCAGGTAAGGAAATCTCAGAAAGTTGATACCGCTCATGGGTAGCGGTGGGAGGAATGCGACTGAAGAAGTGACCTGGATGAGTGAAAAAATGTTTCTCCCACTAAAAACACTGTCCAGACGAACAGTTTCAGCTTTCTGGGAATTGGATTAATGTAAGTAACGAACTAGAGAAATCTTAAGGTATTATCTTTCAATTAAAATGTTTGCTTTAGTGTTTTGGCACCTTTAGAGTCCCTTATTAAGAGCTGGATTACTCAGCACAGAGGCATTATGTGGTATTATTGCTACTATGCATCTCCCAGGTAAAGAAAATGTTTCATTCATGACACCCATGAAAGAAAAAGCTTGTTTTTTCTTTGCACTTCGGGTTAAATAAACAAGAAAAAGCATTAATTTAATTACTATAACTTTACATTTTTTTATTATCTTTGCACAGAACCAAGCTACTACAGCGAGTTCCATACTGAAGATGACATGAATTGGGTTATCTAACTCTTTAATTTAAACATGTCTTTAAACACTAAAACGTTTCAAATGGGTAATTTAAATATAGCAGAAAACATGAAAAACTCCCTCCAAAATTGTTAATTATTTCTAGAGCTTTTTTTTGTAGTTCACAAAATGTGATAACCACAGACCTTTGTATTCTCAAAGTCATAATCTATAGAGTATTGCAGCTTCCCCAGTTTCTCCTGCTCTTTCTCCTCTTCCTCTTTCTCTTCCTCTGTCAGTCCAGTCTCTCCCTCATCATCATCGTCATCCTGATGTGTCTGCAGTGTAAAGGTAACAAAACAAAAAGCTATGTTAAAGGTAAGAGTACAAAAAGTCAGGATACAGGGTTCCCCATAACAGCCAGCATGCCACAGACACTGGAGCTCCAGGAGTTTTTATGTGGGAGATACATGTTTTGGTTACTGCTTACCTGCACAGCACCTGATGATAAAAACCAGGAATTTATCATTTAAAAGGACATAGCTGCCTGTAATCGGTATCCCTACTTTTTTTTAAGAAACTGTAGAAATGATTGTCTCAGTGTTTGTGGATCAGTGGGCAAGTCCTTAAATCTGACATGCTTCAGCAGTACAGTGACAGCCAGAATCAGTGGAGGCATTGCATGCTAGTTCCACTAAGAAGGGTAATAAATGCCACGTCCTAATAGTGAAACTGAAAATAAGAATAATTTCTTGTTGTTAAAGGCATTAGATCTTAACAAATGAGCGAGGAGATATAGGTTTGGATAGACCCCTAAGGAACTAGCTTACAACAGCAGGAACAAATGCATATTAATCAATAAAAAATATGACATAATATTCAGGGCAAGGGGATGTATCTTATTTTATAGGATTTATTTTTAAGACTTCAAATTTGTTAACCTGCATCTCTTTAAATTAATGTGGCAAAATAAATGTTTCTCCTTTCACCTCACCATTATTACAAAACTAAATCAGGATTAAAGGGCACAGCCAGCTATTTGAATTTTGTTAGAGCCTTACTGCTTCAATATGATTTTTCTTATTAAGTAACTTAGGTGATCTTGACTTTGTAATCTTTTCTTTGGGTCATCCAGTGTCGTCACATCCTACCTCCTCCTTGAGTATTACCATAAAATGAAGAGATTTGCAAATCTTTGGCTCACCATGCAGTTTTATCATCACCGTTTCCATGTCTCCCAAACAACCAGCCATGCCCTTTATCACATGCACAGATTAATAGTGTTAACAGTCTTGGATATCATATTTTAATCCAATACTTTCCATATTGGTGTGATTTACAGTAACATTGTCCCGAGAACAATGTGTTAGATGGTTAGACTCTCCTCTCTGGGGTTTATGGAGCACATCATAGCTTTCCATTGTTACATTCTCAAGCTATCATACCAAAAAACTACAAAATAATGGGGAGGAAATTAAAAAAAGAAAGAAAGAAAAAATAGCAAAGGAAGCTACAACTTTCATTCCATGAAACCCCCCTCCGCCCTGGGGGCCAGAGAGCATCGACATGAGCTATCCACCTACCGTAGAGCAGGGGTCCACCACAGTCAAGAAACACGAGGCACACACAAGACACAAAGCGGAAAAGGAGGAGAGCAGAGAGAGGAAGAGATTCAACTCACAAGACACCAAACACACTTCAAAAAGAGAGGCAATCAACACCACCACCACCACAATCATGATGAGAAATGACACGCTTGTTTTAGGCTCAGGGCGATAATTTCACATTGTGGACACAAGCAGTTGATTGCTTTAATTAACTGTACAGGGGCAGTCTATGGTAATATAAGCTGTTTAGCCCATCAAATTAAGAATTTATCCTTAACTTTATAGCACTTTGATTCACAACTTCCTGATGTTTCTGCAGGCCTCATCCTTTCATCCATTACCTTTTAATATGATAAGCTTTGTTTTATAAGTTGACGAAACATTCTCTGCTCATTCTTTGCCACATTGCAATAAAGTGTGCCGTTTTTCACCATGGAGCACAATGGAGCACACGTTTAAACAACCACAACAACAACAACAACAACACAAATTGAGGGGAAGAGAGCTCTCCTTGTGTCCTCTACAGCCTGGGCTAAAAAAGCTGCTGGTAAAAGATCAGATTTAGTTAGCAACATTGTTAAAATCTGGGCAATAACTATCATAATAAATAATAACAACTTGAATAATAAATTATTGTTGACATAATCGACAAAATTTCACCAATGCATCTTGTAACCTTGACTCTTTAGCATGTAGGAAGCGCGAGGCATCATACCTCACCACCCTGCATGTTCTTCATGTTGAAGCCATCCTTTCCCTTCTTTCCTTTCTTGTTCTTCTTCTTCTTGCAGCAACATTTTTTGATTATGCAGAAACAGCAGGTGAGGATTAGCAATGCTGCCACTACAGCAATGGCAATCAAAGCCCACGGAGGCACTGTTGATTTCAAAATAAACGAGGAAAAGCTGAGTTTGAATGGAACTTTGGTGTTTGCCAAATGTTAATGTTTTGTAATGCTTGGAATGATGTAAAAAGCTCTGCAGCATTACTTACATGGGATTTTATCAATTTCATTCAAGAATTTGCTCTTGATCTCCTCAAACATGTCATTCTTGCTGATCTCTGTATTGTTCGAGCCAGAAGTTTCTGGTGCTGAGGTGGACATGGCAGCTGAGGTGGGAGCCATGGTCATGGTGGGGGCACTGGTGGGCTCGGCCGCTGTCATGGCCTGTGGCCGTCTGAACAAGTTGAACTTCATTGTCAAAGACTAGGCACAGCGTCCCTGAAACACAAAGAGATCGGATATGAAGCAACAAAAATTGCTTTAGTGGTATCATGGAAGATTTGTCAAAGAAAGTGAAAAATATTGAAAAACTATTGAAATATTGAAACTCATTATGACTCAGGAAGTCATAATGGAACATCAATCAAATTTAGCCATCTGCACCAACAACAGCGGCAAAAGACTGAAGTAACTTCTTAAGAGGGGTGGCAAATACATTAGGTTACCTATTCACTAGGGGTGCAACAATACACAAAATTCACGGTTCGGTTAGATCCTTTGGTGTCAGGGTTCGATATTTTTTCAATACAAAAAAATGTTCATGCCTTTTTAATTTGTCATTTATTAAAATTATAAATATATATTTAAGTCAAAAGTAGTTTTTAAATTTAATGGGGCTAAGGCACTAGTTCCCACCAATTGAGCATTGCATGGCACATCCGACATATTGTTTTACTTTTGTCCATGACACGCTTACCATCAGGGTCATGCTTCACATGAAAACCAAGATAGTTCCAAACGCCAGATCTGAATGAGGGTGGGAGAGGTTCAATTTCGGGTAGCATTGAGGCAGTTGCCATGTTGCAACGAGCTTAGCTTCTGTCTTGCTAGCTTGCGCTGCGCTCAGTGGATCTGCACTCGACAGTGCAGCCTAGGCGGGCGGAGTAGTCGAACGCAGATCCACTGAGCGCTCAACACAGACAGCATCGTCAGAAGAAAAGTTGATAAAATAAATCAAAAATTTTGTATTGTTTGATACACATGCCTACCGAACCGAAAGCACTATATCCAACGGTTCAATATCAATACGAGTATCGTTGCACCCCTACTGGTTAGTAATCTAAAACTCCAGAAAGCTGCTAAATTGATTTTATTCTGACTTGCTTTCCATTATAATTTTTAATTTTATGTTTGAGTGATGATGACCTTGAGAGCTGCAACTCAACTCTGTGAAAGATGGGGAGTATGAAAACAATGCTTCATCTGGGACTCATCACACTCATCACACAAGTCACAGAAGTTGAAAGCCCTTGATGTTGCTGATGATATGAGAATTTAGTGTGTGTGTGAAACTGTGACCTGAGATGATTACACCTCCACCTTAAAACACAATGATCTTCCAGACCTAAAGGAGAGTCTAAAAAGTTATCCAAAATTAAAGGATACGTGAGTATCTGTACATGTACATGATGGCACAATTGTTAAATGATTTTCTAGAATAATCAATACATAAACAGCATCATTTTGTCAAGTAAGTATAAAGAGAGACATTAAAGATGAATAATTAGTTTATCTTAATGACTTGAACCCAATAACTGCTTGAACCAGAAGAAAACAGCTGCTAACTCAAATTTAGCAAATGTCAGTTGCTTGTCAAACCGCAGAGCATTGTTACTTAAAATATATATGATGAGTGAGCTTTAGAGGTCCTTAAGATAGACCTTATTATATGTGACAGAACCATATCTAAGCGTCTATTTTTCTGGAAAAATACCAGAAACACCTTCCCTGACATGACGAATCATGCTTCTCTGTCTGGCAACCCGATGGATGAGTCTGGGTTTGATGGTTGGCAGGAGAACGATACTTGTCCAACTGCATTGTGTCAAGTATAAAGTTTGGTGGAAAGGGAATTATGGATGAAGAACTTTACTGGCCTGCACAGAGCCTTGATCTCAACCCAATAACATACCACTGAGATGAATTAGAGTTCACATTTCGAGCCAAGCCTTCTTGTCCAATATCAGTGTCTGATCTCACAAATACACTTCTGGAATAATGGGCAAAAATTCCCACAAAAATCAGACTCGTAAAACTTGTGTAAAGCCTTCTCAGAAGAGTTTAAGCTGTTCTGGCTGCAAATGTTGGACCAGCATCACACAACCCTATGGATGAAGAATGTATGTCACTCAAGTTCAGTCATTTGAAGGTAAATGACTGAATAGTTTTGGTAATAGGGGTTTTCTTCTACCAACCAACTAATCTGTATTTATTTTTATTATTTATAACCGACGAATCAATGATCAGACCAATAAATAGTTGAAGGTTCCACCTTAAGAGTTCAAATGTTTTAAGATCAATCTTAAAATAGATTCTGAAATTTTATAGACTTAAGTTTAACAGGTTAGACATAGCTGGAGATCTAAGCTGCGACTTTAAATAGCATAAGAAGGCAGTCATCTAAATCAGTTTCACCTCCCAACATACTCTAATAAAATGAGTGTCTTCTCAGAAGGGCCCTCTTTTAACAGATGACAACTCCAATTTAACTCTCAGCCCCAAGTGAGCATTATGTTATGTATTCTCTGTTTGCTCTTTGCATGACTGCTGGTGGCAGCAACAACACTAACATTTACTGCTGAGCACAAATGTCAATGCTCTGGTCTAATTGAAGCTTGCTGTTTGTCAAAGTGCTGCAGATCGCTAGATGAATTTGAAAACACCTGCTTTAGTTTTAATTAACTATGAATAACTGTATTATAGTGCTGGGACAGGATTGTTTCCTACTGCATTTAGTCATTTATTTGATTACTATGTATGTCTCAGGAGCATAATGGTTTAAATTGTGTCAGTAAGACTACTTATTTACCACAGTGTGATATATTTCTAGGAGCTGCTGCTCTGACTGATATGTTTTTTTAAAACTAAATAATATGATTTTGATGCTGCCTTTACTCTTTCATGAGCCCCACAAACTCAGCATAGTGCTTAAGAATAACTGGCAGCTTGACATCCTTTTATTCGTTTTGTCACTCTGCTAATGTTTCCACATTTATTTGTTTTTCACTCCAGGGTAAAGAATTCAAAGAAATAAAGCAATTTAAGAGAAAAGGTCATGGAATTAAGATGTGTTCAAGCAACTAAGGAAAATGTAACATGATTTACATATTTTTTTAAATTGCTAAGCACATTAGGTATAATGTTTTATATCCATGCTATGGATGTAAGACAAGTATAGAATTAGTACTGGCAACTAAGTTTGCTAGCGTTACACCTTTTTTTCAGTTGATCTACTGTGATCTGCTCGAGTTTCTTACTATAAAAGATGTAATAACTAAAAAAAATTGTACTTTTTATTGTGTAAGCTTTAAAGTACGATACTATCAGCTTTTTATCAGCTGTTTGCTTGCTATTACACTGTTATTTTACAGTGTTTCTACTGTTATTATCATCAAACTTTTATTGTTGTAAAATGTACATACATGTCCTCCTCATATAACGTGAATCCAGTTTATTGTCTTTCTTGAACTATACGGTAGCTCCCCACAATTCTTTGCAACACCTGGTTAGAGAAATGCTTGCACAAAGAAGAGGTCTGGTCATCTGTAATTAATTGCTTCAGGAGTCTCAGCCATTGTGGCTCATTGCTAGCTGTTCTCAACTATGCAAATAGTAGATGCATATACAGAACTATCATAGTCTAAAAACACTAAATAAATGCACAGTAGCTAGATGTTAATGTTTTTTTCTATAGATATCACCATTTACAGTATTCAACTGTATCCACAAAAGTCCCTCCAGTCATACAGAGATTTGCTACAGCGAGCTTATGTGTCATTATCAAAGGAAGTGGTCCGCAGCTAAGGATATCAGTACCTCAAAGTAAAAGTGAACTGTCAGAATATGGCAAACATAATGATGATAAAACCCAATCTTAATTGATTTGCAGCCCACAGATCGATAAGTATTGCATTTCAACATGTGCACTTTAGCACAGACTTTCTATTGCTGTAAAGTAGACTGTGCACTGTTCACATACAGTGGTGGTCTATGTGCTGTGGGCAAGCACATCATTGTTGCTAAGCAATACTGATAACGTCTATAGCTGAAGTGACCAACCAATCAAATAACCAGTTGGCTCAAGGCCAGTGTCAAGTCACTGCCCAAGTGGTGGGCATGACATGATACGAATGCAGACTGCTGCCACTGAGCTGAAATGTATAATGGTTATGAATAAAGTTTTTGCTCCAGCAAAGGTTCTTCAAAAACATTTTATTCATCACCTGCCCGTATCTTTCATTTGTCTCTAAACCCATCCTCACCCCTAAAATGAAGCACATCTGAGACTGCAATGTTAAAAAAAAATCCTAACATTAAGTCAGATATGATTTTCTCCACTACCCGAACTTCCCTAAGTTAATTCTGTCTCCTCTGAGAAGAGCAGTGATGAGAGAAGCGACTGAATGGAAATAGAATACAATATGCCCATACCTTCCCCTCTTATTTTAGCCTACCTTCTACCTCTGTGCCATTAGCACTCAGTCCTTATCTCCCTAGGATTTCGGCAGCTCACCACTGGCCGATATCACTCAGTCACAAAAAACAGGCTCGGACACATCCTCATTCATAAGTAGGATCAGGTCCGGAGAATACAGTGCAACCAAAGCAGTTTGATATGGTTTACCCAGTTTAAAATGCAGAGAAGATTCCTCTAAGATAACTGTGGTCCAGTTGTGCATCTTAACTCATTTTTAATCTACAAAGATCTTCAAGACAAAACTCACCAGTCAAATGTGGTATTCCCCTCGTGGGGTGGCCCATCCAATCAATAAGTGTTTGGGTTACAGTTCCTCAGAGCTGTGGTAACATAGTCTGATCTCTCCCATAAGCAGAGACTGCAGTCTCCTCTCACTTCTCTCCACTGCAGCACTACACCCCTCCTCCTCCCCCTCCTCTTCCTCCTCCTCCTCTGTCCAATGCACACCATCGCCCCCATTTTCCACCCTCCCATCACATATTTCCCTACACCCTCTCTGTCTCTCTGTTCAATGTACTTATGTACGCAACCTCTTTACCTCTTTCTCTCCATCTTTCTCATTCCCCCAGCCTCATTTGTGATGCTGCTCACACAGCTGATTGCAGCATGCCACTCTACGGTCTAGTATTGGAGGGCAGTTGTAAAAGATCACAGACTCTAGGGTGAGGTTCATGTTAATAAAGCCACAGCCTGCACAAGTCAGGAATAAAAAGCAAAAGTATGCACTAGGACAGCTGAAAAA